GAGTCACAGGAGAACAGGGAGACCTTCTGCAGCTTCCTTCATTCAGTTTCGAGATGAAACCTGAGGGCTCAAACACAGCACCCTGCCTGATTGAGTTCTTACCGCAATACTGCATCTTCTCATCCGACCTGTCTTTGCAGTGCGCGATGCCATCACATGTCAGTTGGAAATCGATGCATTCCCCATTCCCGCACTGGAACTCAGAGTGGATGTTACAGGAGGAGTTCAGAGCTAGAAGATGAGAGTAAAAGAGATTTATAGAGCTGTGATGTGCTGCACTGAAGTAAAGATTAGGGATGTGCATTGACTGCTTGAGTCTTTGACACATAATCAGCCGAGGACAGACATGGCAATGGAGTTCCATTTGCACTTTTTTTTACTGTTAGCCCATGTGCACAAAGTTCAGAGGGATGTCTCCTTGGCCTTTGCATCACGTCCTCTGTGTACTTTTCTATTCCATCAGATGCACTATGTCTAGCTGTTTGAACACAAAAACACATCTGCGTATAAGCCCCATAATCCTCTCCAAGCAGAGAGTTGAGCGCTGTTGCAATCCTAGACTGAAAGTCACAGTGTGTAGTCTCCATGTTCAGTGGTCCTAAATCTAACCAATGTTTTTTTTTGAAGTCTCACAATCGTGTTTAAAACAATTTTTGTACTCAGGTAGAGTAAATGTATGTTTAGGTATCAATACCAGACAGAAACACTATTTAACATCTAGATCAGGCAAAAAGTATCAACTATGCAGATGTGTTGTTAAGAAACTGGCATCTAGATGTAATGGGGTGATCCCCTTTAGTGGGTTTTCTTTTTCTGTGTGGGTGGATGGAGCCGGGCGGAAGTCAAGTTCACGGCCCCTTTAAAAAGCGCAGAGATTTCTCTTTACTTCAGTTTTCCTCTGGCATGGTATACAGGCTGTATGTTGATCATGTCACAGGACCTATTTGATGTGCGTCAAGCATTGAACTCATAGTCAACGCCACAACCTGTATAAGGGGAATTCTTTAACTCTGGGCGTGGGCCTGAGGGTGTTCAACCGCTTCAACGCATTTCAGGCGTGATCCAGGCAGTATTGGTGGATTGTTCACCACTCCTATTGAGAGCCAGTTAAGTGTGCTGCAGAAATTCGTCCATTGCTGTTTTGCTGCTGTGTGGCGGCTTGACCGTGGTGCTGTGCTGGGGAGAAGTTGTTCGCCTTCCTTCACGTGCTCTCGACTGTGTATCTGTTACCGCCGCATTATAGCAAATTAAGTGTGTGTGAGTGTGTGTTTGGGATGAGCGTTTGCAAATGAACACTTGTTTGTAAGTGTGTGTGTGTGTGTGTGTGTGTGTGTGTGATTGGGATGAGCGTTTGCGAGTGAATGCTTGTTGGTGGGTGTGTGTGTGTGTGTGTGTGTGTGTGTGTTAAAATCAACCGGTGTTTTTTTATTGTTATATTTGATCGCCAATTCCCTTATAACCAGCAAGGGCTATAATCTGCTGGGAGGGTTTATTTGTTTTGCTTGCTTGTGTGGTTTTGGTTTTTATTTTGAGTGAGGGTAATTGTATCTAAAACCAGATCACAATCTTGGTATTGAGTCCATATATTCGAAGCAAAGGAAATCTGGATTGCATTTTGGATGTGCAATTATATTTTAGAATACAGATCCACAACCTAAATCTGAATGACAATCTGTATTTAGAATTTATATTTAGAGCATGGATCACAATCTGGATGTACAATATGGATTGCAATCTGGTTCCAAAAAGCAAATGGAATCTAAATCATAATCTATATTTAGAATATGGATCATAATCTGAATCTAGACCACCGTCTTCATATTCAGAATCTATTTTCAGAGCAAAGGAAATCTGGATTACAATCTGTATGTACAATTGTTGTTTTTTTATTGTTATTATTTATTTTTTTTATAATCTGGACCAAGAATCTAAATTCTGAGTGAAGTGAACCTGAATCACAATCTAGATTTAGAATCTATATTCAAAGCAGAATGAATTTAAGCTGCAATATGGATGCACAATATAGATCAGAATCTGGTTCCAGAATTATATATTAACAGCAAATGGAATGTGAATGATCTGGATTCAGATTCAGAATATGGATCACTCAGCTTCTGAATTACAAACTGTATGCACAATTGGTCTTCATAATTGAATCTAAATCTGAGTCTAAACCCTAAATTATGAGTAAAATGAATCTGAATCATAAACTGGATTTGAAATCTACATTCAAAGCAACAGGAATCACAGTCAAAATTTGGATTTTAAATTAATATTCAGAGCAACAGGAAGGATTCTGCAGTAATAAGGTTGTTGGGCCATAGCCTCACAGCTAGATTTTGCTGCTGTTTGTTTCTAGAGCAGCAGCATGTTCCTCTCACTATGCTAAAAGCAACCGTTCTGTCCCACATGCTCCCTGTGTCTCACCTATCCGCCTACAGACATGGGGCACTGCAGACCTGAACATTCGCTCTGAATTTCAATCCAGAGCCAATCAGCTACCAAACATATTCTCAAAAACTTTCTTTATCACCAGCATCCCAAACTGAAATATCGGCTATTATTTGGAATACTCCAGCATATAGACAGCCTCAATACTAACAGACATGGACATAACTCAAATATAAAAAACATACTAAAAAATTTGGGGTGAGTGAAAAAAAAGTCCAAGAAAATGAGCAAGAGATACAGAAAGAGAGGGTACAGGACTTACATACACATCTGTTATCATCCAGTAACATCCGTTCTCCACGGCAAGTACAGTTTACCACACCAAGAGGAGTCAACAGACAGAGATCATGGCACCCTCCATTATTCACGCTGCAGGGGGATGACTCACCTAAAAGGATTAAGAGAAATCCTTGGTAACAGATCTATCAAGCATTGAATCAAACCGTGACATTTACAACTGTCCAGCTTTACAGCTCATACTTAGGGTTAGGAATTTAACATTTTATACACACTGCTAAAACCAGATCACAATCTTGGTATTGAGTCCATATATTCGAAGCAAAGGAAATCTGGATTGCATTTTGGATGTGCAATTATATTTTAGAATACAGATCCACAACCTAAATCTGAATGACAATCTGTATTTAGAATTTATATTTAGAGCATGGATCACAATCTGGATGTACAATATGGATTGCAATCTGGTTCCAAAAAGCAAATGGAATCTAAATCATAATCTATATTTAGAATATGGATCATAATCTGAATCTAGACCACCGTCTTCATATTCAGAATCTATTTTCAGAGCAAAGGAAATCTGGATTACAATCTGTATGTACAATTGTTGTTTTTTTATTGTTATTATTTATTTTTTTTATAATCTGGACCAAGAATCTAAATTCTGAGTGAAGTGAACCTGAATCACAATCTAGATTTAGAATCTATATTCAAAGCAGAATGAATTTAAGCTGCAATATGGATGCACAATATAGATCAGAATCTGGTTCCAGAATTATATATTAACAGCAAATGGAATGTGAATGATCTGGATTCAGATTCAGAATATGGATCACTCAGCTTCTGAATTACAAAATGTATGCACAATTGGTCTTCATAATTGAATCTAAATCTGAGTCTAAACCCTAAATTATGAGTAAAATGAATCTGAATCATAAACTGGATTTGAAATCTACATTCAAAGCAACAGGAATCACAGTCAAAATTTGGATTTTAAATTAATATTCAGAGCAACAGGAAGGATTCTGCAGTAATAAGGTTGTTGGGCCATAGCCTCACAGCTAGATTTTGCTGCTGTTTGTTTCTAGAGCAGCAGCATGTTCCTCTCACTATGCTAAAAGCAACCGTTCTGTCCCACATGCTCCCTGTGTCTCACCTATCCGCCTACAGACATGGGGCACTGCAGACCTGAACATTCGCTCTGAATTTCAATCCAGAGCCAATCAGCTACCAAACATATTCTCAAAAACTTTCTTTATCACCAGCATCCCAAACTGAAATATCGGCTATTATTTGGAATACTCCAGCATATAGACAGCCTCAATACTAACAGACATGGACATAACTCAAATATAAAAAACATACTAAAAAATTTGGGGTGAGTGAAAAAAAAGTCCAAGAAAATGAGCAAGAGATACAGAAAGAGAGGGTACAGGACTTACATACACATCTGTTATCATCCAGTAACATCCGTTCTCCACGGCAAGTACAGTTTACCACACCAAGAGGAGTCAACAGACAGAGATCATGGCACCCTCCATTATTCACGCTGCAGGGGGATGACTCACCTAAAAGGATTAAGAGAAATCCTTGGTAACAGATCTATCAAGCATTGAATCAAACCGTGACATTTACAACTGTCCAGCTTTACAGCTCATACTTAGGGTTAGGAATTTAACATTTTATACACACTGAAATGTATACAAAATGTGTAAAAAAAAATTTTTAAAGTGAATAAATAATAAATAAACTTGTCATCAAAATGAATATTGATTAAAATAATGTCAAAATGAATTTTGATTGTAATATGGATGTAACAGAATTATGTACTCAGAGCAACCATATTCTGAATCATAATCTGGATTTAGAATATGGATCATAATCTAGACTGAATCTAGACCACAATCTTCAATTAGAATCTATATTTAGAGCAAGGGAAATCTGGATTACAATCTATATATACAGT